GGAGACTAACTCCTATTATTTAAGTCTTAATCCAGCAAGATTTGCATTATCTTTTTTTGGTGGTATCAAAACTCTAATGCTCACCCTGGCAGCCCACCTGGACAACGAGAGAAATCCATGCAACAAAGCGAGACTAAATGAGTCTGCAAAGCTTGGTGGTTGTTCTTTATGACCTCCACGTTATTTTAAATGAGTGTTTTACAGTACACAGTGGAATGCGATGCCGTGACGATATCAAAAATCTCGATTAACACTGGTTTAAGATAACAAAGCGCCGCGAGAGTCACAATTAAGACAGTACAGTGTTGATGCACAAAAAACACAAGTTATTCATACATTCTAAAGTGCTGTGATACAAGTCTCCAACAATCACATTTGACAGGCTGCCACAAACACGATATCTCCGCAGCATGAATTTTGTTAAATTATTATTAAACCGAGGCAATAAAACTCCCAAAGAATCCCTCGTATTCATCATCCCAGAAACTGCAGAGGCAATATTTTCACATATACACGAAGATCATGAGGATGGGATATGAATCAAAAATTATAAATAGGATTTTGTTCATGTTCATACTGTCCCATTTCTTGCAGATTCCATCTTATTCAATTTCCATTTCATTCATTCAGATGACACTCTCATCCGCAACTACGAGAGCCTCGGTGAGCAGGTAGTGGTCAGATGTGTGGTCCCTGGTCAATTATCACAGATGCAAATCACATGCATAAATTTGAATGTGCCGCCCTCCAAATGAGGACTCAAAAAAACATTACTTCATCTTTTAGAGAACAAGATGGGCTTGTTTGGTTGTAGGCTTACAGTTCTTGGAATTTATAGACAGGAAATAGCTCAAAGTTCATTCATGGACTTTACTCCTGCTGTAGGTTAGCTGTACTCAGTTGCAGCTTGCTCCTCCTGTGGGATAAAAATTGTGCTTGTAATTTATCAGAACTGGCTTAAATATTTTTTGTTGTTGTTCTGTGTGTCTTCTCCATGCTGTTTAGTATTTGTCCTGTGAGAATGGAGTAACATTTACCCACTATAGATAAAAAGCAGACCATCACCATGTACAGCAGTGTTCGGTTCTTCTGGCATTTTCCATTTTTGCATCCTTACTCACAGAGATCTGACTGACAATAACTAACGTGTTCACTAGGAATATACTACACACTCAACTATTTTATCTCGTACACAGTCTGCCGAAGCATGCATGGTATGAATCTGTGTCTGGGCATGAAGCCAGTTCTAATTTAGTTGAGCCAGTGGGCAAAAAAAAGCTTTATTGGGGTTGCATCTCATATAAGGTTAGCCAAACTGGAGGTAGTCTCTCTTCGAGCGTGACGGTCCATATGTCCTGAAACAGTGAAGATGTGCAAAACCCGGTCTACAAACCGCCGTCCGTGCCTCGTCCTCTCAAGAAGGATCACCACTACAGAGTATATCCCAACACCCACAACTGCAGCTCCACCTCCAGCCAGCAAAACCACTCCAGAAATGTACATGTCATTAAGGGCTTGGCCAGGCTTTGGCATATGGTTGGCAAGGGCCAGATGCAGTAGAACCCCTCCACAAATCAACAGTGACAGCCCGGTAATTAAAACCACTAGAAGGTCGGATAAACCGCCGCTCTTTAGCATGTCGATTCGCCGTCGGCTCCGAACGCAATTCATGTCCTGCACGGCTGAGCTGAGAAGTTGTTTGAGCAGGACTCCCAAGGCTAGCAGGCACAAAGCTGTGCCCGTGCCGAGCCGCCACTCACTCGAGACGCTGGTGGTAGTCGAAAGAAGGCCGACGCCCCCGAGTCCGCAACCCAGGATGAGAATCACAGCGACACAGTAGCAGAGGACAGACTTCCCAGGATCTCTGAACCACCACAGCTCCACTTGTTCCTCTAGGATGCTGTGCTGAATCTGTGCTGGGTCTGCTGGACCATTAAGGCCCAGTTCAGGACTCCTGGCTTCCCTTGCGGGGGGAAGGTTGTCCAGCTCCGGCATTGTAGTGGTACTCCCAGCCTGCTGAAGAAGGATGCAACCACCACAACGAGGGAATGAGAATCCACAAGGTTACTTCGGTCCAATTAAATCTACCAAAGGTTACTGCAGGTCAATCAGGACAAGCAAGAGATTCCAGAAGCTTTATGAGGGAATTTGCTCAAAATTATCCAGAAATTTTCAATTTTTAGCAGATCTAAAAAGAAGTTAAATGTAATTCCCCAAAAATGTTCCAAAAAGATTTACTGAGATCAGTGTATTGTATTTTATCCACAATGGTTTGTACTCAAAAGTTCCACAAAGTTAGTTTGGATGTATTGTTCCTGAAAATTCATGGAGTTTCTTGTAGTTTTTCTTGTAGTTAACACCGGCTACAGAGGCAGATCCCAGTCATCCTTAATGCATTAGTTTCTGAATCAAAGAATCCACACATCGGCAAAAGTGTTAGTTGGTAGCAGTCACCTGGAAGACAAGACATACAGTTCATTCAGTGCTGTAGGTGGCCTCTCCAGCTCACTTAGTTAGATAACTGTCTTACTAACTAGTACATAGATTCAATTACTAACCAAACAATTAGTCACAGCACAGAAATGCATGGTTAAGAAGTGCTCGTCTATCATTTCTTCCCCAAGCACAACGTGGAGAGGAGTAATAGCTTAACTTTCAGATCAATTCAATTCAATTCAATTGAATCTACACAGCACCAAATCACAACAACAGTCACTTCAAGGTGCTCTAACCACCCACGTTCAACAGTGTCTGGCTAAGCACAGGCTTATATACGAAGACTTTTTGACTTCTGTTGCTTCCTTCTTGTTTTTAAGGGTCTCTTTGTTTTCCGCACCCTGAAGGATGTGATCAGTACAAGATAAGTTAAAGAAAAACTTCAGACCAGCTAAAAATCCTCTGCGTGCTGAGCTCCAGAGATTGAAGTTCTTTGCCTCCACCAACAAGTTTGTTTTTTGTTTCTGCTCTTTTATTTTCTGACACTGTGTGAAACCTGAGAAGCAACAAGCACAAACCGTGTTATTCAGCTCGGTGTCAAGTTTCTCTTTAAAATTTTTTACGTTTGTGTATATTTTGCAGCGACGGATACAAAGCAGCCAAATTACAGACACGTACACACACGTATACACACAAAGTTTCTATGTAAAAAAAACTTGGTGTGCTGACACCGGCAACCTTTTCTTTCTCTCGTTATCACTATGGTAATGAGTTGCCACTACAGAGGCGGCTGGATAAAAGGAGCATCAGCTGTCGATAGAATAAACAATTCCTATCCACGCGCACACACAGAAAATCAAACAGCTAATCCACAAATGTAAATTTTCGTTCTTTTCATCCTTCCAAACAGACACCCACACAGCCTCACTTGACGAATCTTTCTATTACCTTGAGTCCAGTAAATCTTCTTTTCCTTCCTCACATGCACCGTTAACACAAATTGGAGTAAACCCCCCAAATCACCACCACCCTTTTATTTAACCGTCTTGCTGACCTCAGCACATTTAGCGTCCACACTGTAGTTTGTAACCTCTTCACACACCCGTAACACAGTCATGTAAACAAACAGCAAGCAAACAACCTCAAGGTTATGGCTCTCCACAGCTTGTCTTTCAAAAAAAACCCAAAAAACTGTCTGCAGCTTTATTTCTATCAAAGTCACAGGCCCACACTGTCCAACAGAAGCTGACAGTAGTCACAGTTTGTCCTCAGCGGTCGTGGATCCCAATTGAAATTGAAATCGCATCTTTGAATTCCCCACACGCACACAGACACAGACACAGACACACACACACACACGCTGTTTGGAAAAGACTAAACAAACATGCAAGATCACATTTTTTCTCAGTATGGACAGGTACCGCCTTGTATCGAGGTGGAGCAGTTATACCGTGACACGGGGAGATATGAGTTGCATACACAAGGTGTGAAATGAAGAGTGAGGTAATTACAGCCGAGGAGGAGGGTGTTTATTGGCAACATGCTGTTCTGGAAGCTTTTCACATCCTGTATCTGGTGAAGTGCTGTGTCAGTATGTGCGCACGCATGCGTGTGTGTGTGTGTGTGTGTGTGTGTGTGGTTGGCTTTTTTACAGTTGTAGATAAGTAGTCAAAAGAAATGCTATAAAAAGAACATGTGAGTTATCATGTTTAATCATATGATAAGCCTGTGCATGTTTCACTGAGTATCTGCATTTGTTTTTGCATATGTGCATGTGTGTGTCTCTGTGCGTGCACCTGTGCATGTATGTTGAGTCACTAATTAATCCCAGCTGATTTGAGCTCAGTGTCACTGACAGGTGAGGCCAAAAACACAGCACAGTCACTGAGATGAAGAAACATATGGTTTAAGGTGAAAAAAAGAAAGACGCTACAACGCCACCCAAAGCTGTGAAACTAACCCTTTGATCCCTGCTCAACTCGTTTATGAGACATTATTTATACTCTTTCGTTAAGCTCCTAGTAACATGAAGCGCGCGATCAACAGGGCGACAGAGCGAGAGGCAGCGGCACGTGACACGAGATGAAACTGAACCCTCGATGACGCGAGTATATCTCACTTCATGTTCTGTTTTTCGCAGTCGATTCCCCACAGAAACAAAACACAGAGACAGAACTGCTGGGCTGTGTCTGCCTTTCTTCTTTTTATCACTTATATGACCTCTAAACCCTGTCATATCATTCGTGTCTTATTGGCCTCATAAATATCTCCACAAAAGCACTGACTCACTGCCTAACTCTGTGCTGGCCTCCTTTTACGAAATAGAAAAGAAGTAGAGAGGCACAAATAATTTACACAAACACATTATTCGGTTTTTCCACTGTGCTCTGCTCAAGTCGCTAATGTCAAAAGTTGACTTTGTTTTCTTTAGTAAAAGCTTGAAATAATCTTTGGTTGTCAGTCTGAAACCTTGATACAGTCTGACACAGAGTGTGAATGAGGTAGGGCCATCTCCTCGTGCTTGAAAATTCAAAAAGATTTTGCGGCACTGCTGTTGCCCAAAGTCATCTTCATCCCACTGTTTTACACCCGTGCGCTAAAACCTTCAGTGCACCAAGTCTAACAATGAATCTTCGCACCTTTAGCCGTCGATTCACACTCCCACAACTCTTGGCATATTCATAAAATATAGATCCGCAGATGCGCTACTGCCGCTGACTGTAAAACTCAAGCGAGGCTGAGTTGACAAGCAGCATTATTGACAATCTGCTTCATCCCTTCATTTGGACTGACAATCCCGGCATTTGTCGTGACCTATGAATGTGGCAGGTACTTGCATATCAAAAATGTGCTGATTATAAATCAGCACATCTTGATGTCTAAAGTAGCTTATAAAGGCATTTGAAAGCTACTCTAGTGATTATTATTCCAATTTATCAGAAGACACAGTGTCTGAAGACAACCGTAGACGGCTGTCTTTTAAGTGACAGGAATAATAAGTGTGTCATGGACACTCAGCTCTGCAGAAGTACTGAAATGATTGAAATGGGCTGACACTACCAGTAAAAACTTTCTCTGTACTGCTAATGCAACCAAAAGTTAATTAAAGTCATTAGAAATCCCAAAGACACTGTAATTGTAAACCCCGGACACAGAGTATCATCCGCTTTCTCTTTCGCTCTCTACGTCTCTGCTACGTTTTCAGCCCACAAGGTCACAATAGGGGCTGTGCTTTAGAGTAAAATACAATATACCTCACTCCAATTACCTGGGAAGCTTTGGGACTCCGGTATTCCCGCCTCTGTTATGTTGGCCAGCTGAATTCATTTCACCGGCCATTAGTGCCTCGTTTTACTGTTGATGAGAGGTTCTTTTTAAAGTTGGATGTCAGGATATCGTATGCTAATCAGAGTGCCAGTCAGCAGAGTTTGATAGAAGAGAGCAAAAGCATTCAAAGAAAGTGAAGTAGGCAAAATTTTGCTTATTTTAAAAATACAAAGAAAGAAAGAAAAATGCAGGGACTCAGGTGGGAGAATGGAAGCGCAATAACCACAAAATGAAGTGGATGTTTGAGCGCTTGGCAAAGGTGCAGTGCAGAACGTGGTAGCTTACAGCAGATAAAAGCATGCGTTGACATCCAGGGAAGCTCGGACTGGAATGCAATGCGTATTACGTTTTGACTGTCAGGGGAAAAAAAGAGAAAACAGCTTTATTCGGGTAAGCACAGCCCAATGAGAAGTGGCTTGTATGCTGTTTAAAAAAAAGCTGATATATTGTTTGCCAGGCTGTTGCAACTTCTGTGAATTCATTCTGGAGCACACAGACTGGAGGGGAAGAGGAAGTTTGGGGCTCAAAGCCAAACTTGTTGTGCTATAGACAGCCTTTCCTTCAGTATTTGCAGTTCATTTACTTTCCTCTAAATTATGTTCACTATATTTAGAGGTTTTGTTTTCAATCTTCACATCCTCTTACTGCACAAATGTAGAACAAGGCATCAGTGCCAAATAATCAAAGCAAAAATATGTCAGAAAAAAGATAGATCCTTCTGCTCCTGCTGCTGAATTTCCTGCTGTGTGCATTTTTTATCTGAGGACGGCGGGACGGGCTGAAGGGGAGTCCATGGGAGATTAGACGATGTGTTGCCGTGGTGACAAAGCAATGCTGTACTTCCTGTCTCCCCCCCCTTTTACACTCGCACCCACCCACTTCTCCTCTAGTCAGGCGTTGATTCTCTTGGCGTCCCCACGGGCGAAGAGAGGGGTCAGGGTTGGCTCCATCTGTCTATGTGATGGGCATCGGTGCCAAGCGCCACGGGGGCTGGAGGGAGAGGAAAGAAGGCTTGTGCGGAGTGGGAGGGTAACGGATGTTTCTGAGCAGTCATCTGGGACTCCGAATGGGGCTGAAACTGGGCCTGGGGAGTGGGAAAGGGGTTCAGGGAAGTGGATTGGGGATAAGGGCGTTAGAAGCAAAGGGACAGAGGGAAAGGCTAGGGGCTAAGGAGAGTGCTAAGACTTCACTCTTGTTCCTGGTATAACAAAGGTGGCTGGCAAAGAAGAATGATGCTGAATAGGTCTTTATGCAGGCAAACTGGATCTTTCGTCTGTTCTCTAGTCACAATGGACAGGCAAGGCACTCGGGGAGCCTCGCTGTGTCCGGAACCAGTGATGAGACAATGGCCGAGTCAGTATTACTGTCCTCACCCTGCCAGGCATCACAAGGGAAAACCTAAGACAAAAAGAAAAGACTTTTACGGGAGCTGCACATACTGTTCTTTAACCTTAAAGCGCTTACATGTTCATTCCTCTCCTGTTCTGCCACTGAAATTCAGCTTCTATCCCTCTAACGGCAAGCAAATCACTGTGTTCAAATGTTAAAGATGCTACAAGTCTACAAACCGGTGCGTGATCGTCAAACTGATTAACGAGCTTAATTAAAATCTTGCACATTATCAAGGAACGGTATACCCAGATGAGCCCCCGCAACGCCGCAACCAGAACCATGTTTCTTTTTCAGAAACTAATGGTTTGTTTTCAGCCACATAGGCACTGGGGTTTTAAAGATGGCAGTGTGGGTTGGATTTAACTAATTCTATAGCTGGTGGATGGACTACCATGAAATTTACTGCAGGCATTCGTTTTCAGTTTGTCTGGCGCCACCCGTCAGGATGAACTTTTGGTCCCGGGTGAAAAGTCTCAACAAATGAGAAGTGGTTCAAGTACCATCTGGGATGATTTATGATGAATCTGTCGATGCCTTAAATTTTAATCTTGTGCCATTACTAATTAATTACTCAAGGTGTGATTAAGCCCAGAGGGAACACAGTGGAAGTAGTTTGATGTGATTCCTGGAGTGCTGCAGCGAGAAACTGCTACAATCACACTTCAGCGTGCGACTGTACCTGGCTTCGGGACTTTTGGGGTGGACAGGGACATTAATCTAAGTGGTAAGAACAAATGTGAATGGATTGCAGTATTTGTGATTAAAGAAAAAGTGGTTTAATACCAGATATGTTACTGCAAAACAATGTTTCTCGATTGGATTCCTCCATCAGCTGCCACAAAGGTCATCTAAATGACCGTGTACGTGGTCGGTAGCTATGTATAGCAAACAGATCCTTACCACCCTCTGTCCATCTTGAATGTATTGTGTCTCAAAGTAAAATGGAGATAATTATGCATGGCTTCTTGTCTTGATTATTTGTTATCCCTTATTCCTCTGCCTGAGCAAATCATCCGTGGATTGCCTACAAATGATCCGGAATGCCTCTTTCACGCACCAGGTCCCATGGGATATAGATTTTGTCTTCCTTACACTGGTTCCCCCTAAAGTTTACGCTTCAGTTAAAACTTTTGGTAAGCCCTTTCAGAGCCCTCCATGGTCAGATAACTCTGTATGTCAGTGAATTACTACAACCAAACATAACATCTAGATCCCTGAGGTCTGTGATCAATAACTGCTGACTGCACCTAGATCCAGGTTAAAGATAAAAAATGGTGACTTTTGAGGTTGTGGCTCTCTCATACCACAATACCAGCATTCATTTTAGATTTAAGTTCCTTGTTGTATCACATTGACATTATGATTAATAAAGCTCTTCACTTTTTTATAATCCATTTAACTGGGCTCCTCTTTTAGCATAATCTTCTACCTTTATGGGCTATTGAGCTACACGTTTCTGATGTTTTGGCAGCTATACCGCAGTGATTTCCAAACTTTTGGGATGAATAAGTTGTTGTTTTCTTACCCCATCTATTGTCAGAAACTTTGGCTAATTGCCAACCCCTTCTACATTAATTGCATTCCCAACTGCTCCACCTGCACTTTGTTGCTAATTAGCTAGCGTTAATATGGCTAACGTGAAAATGTGTCGACATTGCAATCTGATGCATTAGGCAGCTTCACAGAGCAGCTAGTGTGGCTGCAGACCTTCAGTTGTAAGCGATATTAATATTTTTAGATGCTTTAAACTTCCCATCCCTATTCTCCTCCTTACCCACTGCCTCATCTCAGGTGATTTTCTTCCTTCCCAAATGAGCTTTATGGCACAATATCACCCTGACTGGCACGACTAGCCAAGGCCTTCCCCCCTGACACTTTATCCACAACCAAGCACACATATTCATCCCCATCTGCTTTCTTCACACTCTTCCTTATCTCCATAGCTTTACACACGTTTCCTCCCTTTTTTCTATGCCTCTCATATCGTTCTCTGTGTCACTACCAGTGCTCCTCTGTGTGGCTACTTCTTATCTTTTCTGTCTGCTCGGGTATTGGGGTGTTATGAAGGCAGAGATGTGCATGGGGTGTGGAGGGGGGATTACTCACAGAGGTCCCTCTGGATTCAGGTAAAAGCCTGTTTGACTCAAAGCCCCATGCAAACATGTGTCATGCACACAGCTACCTGGGCCCTTTTCCCTGTTTTGGTGTTTACATTGTTTTCTCCTTGAAATTCTGATGCTATTCTCCCTTCAATCATTCTTGTATTCACATCCCATCATTCCCAACATTAAAAAATATGCCAATTCATCAGCCTCGGTAAAACTGCTGAGTATTGTTAATCCCCAACGCGAACACGTGTTAACAATCAAAGCCAAAACTCGATTTGCACAAATTTGTTATCTGGAATATGGTGTTCCTCTCTTTTTAAATAGACTTCTTCCTCTCACTGGAAACACTGCTGTTGACAAAAATGTAGACCAGTCTAATTCAGCTTAGCAGAGGCTCTGGATCTCATTCAGCCGGTACGATGGGAGCCAAATGGGGCTTTTAAACACTGAGCGCAATTCAAAATGGCTCGAATATTTCTGCTTCCGTCAAACTGGCTCCTTTACCATGACTCCAGAAATCCAGATTTTTTTTCATTTCTTTCTCTGTTTTTTTTGAAAGTTGAAGGAAATTAACTGAATGACGTGCATAATGATAAAGTTGTGTAATAACCCTCGGTCCCCGAAGTGGAGGAGTGTTGATTAAAAAAGAAAAAGAAAAAAGGAAGAACCTCTGTCCAGCCGGTTGCTTTCCCTTGTCATGCACAGCTGCAATATTAAAACGCTAATCAAATCACCAATTAACATGCTGGTCCCCTTCTGCTTCACTCCCGCTGACGATGGGAAAGGCTCACCCCCACCTCCCCATCTTCTGTCTTTGTTTATTTTAACCCTGACCAACTTTCCTCTTGTGGGTTTTAAAGGTGATTTTCAACATATTTTAATTTGATATTGGCTGTCTGGTGATGATAATTGTAATGAATGAGATGGCTGTCTCAGTGTCTGGCTATTTCCTCACTACCTGAACTGATGTCTCCATCCTGCAGCTGCACACTGTGGCTGAACTTTTAATACAGATTTTTAGTCTTAGGTGACAGGAATTTTTTTTGACATCTATGTTCCCCGGAGGATGAAACCTAACAACTATAATGAGCTCCCAACTTTCTCTGTAGCGCCTATATGAGGAGGACACCTGCGGTTAAGTGAGATGTTCTAATGACTATTGTATCGATAAGATTGAAAAAACACTGATGCCCCCACACTTTTATATGCTTAACATGAAACTAGAGCGAGCAGCTTGCTATAATGTTTATATATATCACAGACAGAGAGTCAGCAAGCAAGCTGATACATGCCAGAGTATTGATAAAGTTTCAAAAATCTCTCCCCATGCTCTCCTTCATCTCCTCTTCCCCTCACTCCCTTACCAGTCACAACAGATGGCTACCCTTCCTCCGAGCCCGGTTCTGCCTGAGGGTATCTTCCTGTTAAAATGGATCTTTGTCTTCCCACTGTCGCAAAATACTTCCTCCTATGAGATTGTCCGATCATTGGCTCTTTATTTTATTACATAAATTGTACTTGGGCTTGATCTGTAACTTCTTAGAGTCTCTACTGCTCGCAAGTACCTGGAAAGCAAATAACCTTCCCATCACTGTCGGGTTTCTTTAATAGCACCGTTCTAGCAATAATAAACACATGTTAATGTGTTAACCAGTTAAAAACAATGACGCAAGTGCTAAAACACCAACATGTTAGCAGCGGATTTAAAGCTGCAGTGCTGATGACAAAGGGAAAAGCAGCCTGTGGATCTACAGCGGCTTCATCAAGCTTAAACATGCCTCTTTGTCAATTCAGTCTGTGATAGAAATAAATAACTGATTGATTCATATATAATGGCAGGAAGCTCCAGCGTAGACTGCACTAACAACATGGTATTTTTTTTATAAGCTGCGTAAGTGAAAACCTGAATCAAGTTTGGAAATGCTATAAGTCTCATCTTTTAAAAAGGTGGGACCTCCCACTGATGAGACAAAAGTGGATCCTGCCAACATGATGTGAGGGTTTCAGCGGGAGAAACTGGTAAGGAATACAGGATGCTGACACTCAGCTATGTCTGTGTGTGCAGTAAGCATTTTCTCACTGATAAGTTAGAAATGCAAGTGTCATTTTAAGCTTACTGTATTTCTGCAGGTTAAGCTGAAGTATTTTTGACATTATTTAGCTTGTGTTACAGACGTTTTTCAGAATGATACGAGTGACACTGTTTTGACTGCAAGTGCCTGCGCTAACCACAGCAGAATGCTTATATAGCTAACATTAACTACCAGCAAAGATTGCCAAAATAATCCCCTGATGTGGTGAAATCTAATATTTTTAGCCAGCCAGTCATTTTGCGAGTGATTCAGCCCTTGATTGTGGTGCCCGCTGTTCTCCCCTCCAGCGGAGGTGGTGTTCAGAGGTAAAGCACTATCTCTACAAGCTGCCGGTATGGATGTATAGATGTAAAAACAATCTTGTGCAAACAGCTTAAAGTTATGATCGTCAATTTGATGCAAGTACATAAGGAAGAATCACCTTTTCTGAACACAGTCTGGCAGTTTAGCCTCATCTCACCCCTTTATGGAATTCATTATGCTGACTGATGGATGTGTATTATACCCAGGGACAGGAGTGGATGTAGTCATTACAGCTGCTACCGATGCCACACTACATACCTGACTGTGTGCATCTGCTGACGGTGGAGAAAGGGGGATATTTAAGATTCTTGTCTGATACTCTCTACTCTGATTTGTGTGTTGTCTCAAAGCCAACACACAAACACATACAAAAAAACGCACCCTGTGTTGCACGGTTATCCACAGACTCAATCACTGACTCACTTTGTTTTTCTCCTTCTTTCATCCTGCACTCTGTGTTGACTTCAGGCTCTTTCTTAACGAGGTCTATCACATGTTGTTTTCAGCCTGACATGTTTTTAAGAGTTAGACCTCATCTTAAATGATCCTTAAAGTGCTGTCGGTGTAGAGAGACTGACAGTCTGCATGTAACCTCGGCTCATTTAGATGCCCTGTCATGATTCATCTTCGGCCTTTAGATTAGTACCAGCAGATCAAGAGGTTATGAGCAAAGCAGCAGGGGTCATGCCTGGACAGTCTATTGATCTGTTGCAATTGCAAAGGCTTGAATACAGCTACAACACTCCCTTTCTATGTGGTTTATGGATTTTCCACAATGCAGCAAAACTGATAGCTGAGTATATGACAGCAGCCCTATGAAGTGATGATCTACAGTGTATCTGAAGCCCTATGTGTTTGATAACTGTGGACCAGCCTACCAGAGCAAAGGTTAGTGGGTATGGCATAATGTCAATATGTTTTACTTCCTTGTTTTCCTCGGTGTAAAATAGACAATTTATTCTTCGGGGAAAGTCCAGAAAGCATACAAGCATGACAATGCAACTATTGTGGGAAAAGTGACACCAATATCCAGGCACCCTACATCTACATACAATGGATTTCTTTAAGAAGTCATGCTTACATCTATCATAAGATAGATAGATAGATAGATAGATAGATAGATAGATAGATAGATAGATAGATAGATAGATAGATTTAGGCTTTTAGTTAAGTCCTTACAAAAGCCAAGAGAGAAAAACATTTTTAAAAAGAGACACGGATACTGACCTTTATATGATAACACTTTAACAGTTTAGTATACAACTTACTAAATTGTTATTTTTTTTAAATAAAGGTGCTATGTCAGTGACACCAGCCTGCACTACTGCGCAGACGAGCGCTATTATTACTATTATTATTACTGATCGACAGTGACGTTCTTTTATAATCCTTTTTATAATACTGCTGTTCATTCGGGAATAAAGGGACGTGAATAATGTAGCAGTTACAAAAACTCGCATGTAAGTTTTAAATAAATCGGATTTAAGAAAAAAAGCCCTTTGTTGATAAAAAGTTGAAACTCCTCTGTGTTTGGAGCTTGTTTATTAGAAGCCACTCTTACCTGTGCGCTAAGCTGTTCACACTGAATGCCTTCAGCTCCGCGCAGTAGCTGCGCTCGATTTCTTTTCAGTAATTCCCAGCTCGTTGTCCAGATCATCAAAGTCCCACAGCCGTATGTCGCGGCATACCTTCAGCCGTCTTTTGGATGAGAGGGTCCAGAGCAATGAAGGTGCCGTGGGTGCCGCGCTTCCCCCCCTTTCGCTCTCGGTGAAAGCCCACAGTCTCTCTGCCTCTCCACCGGACGGACTTCCCCCGTTTAATGCAGGTGTGGCCGCGCACGGCGACAGGGGACGCCGATGGGAGGGGACAGAGAGTCAGCGAATCGACCTCCGCACTGCCGTGGGTCCCCGGAGGGAAACCAGCACATGAAACGAAGGACGGCTGCTCCTGATAAATAAAAGATTCACTGTGATTGTGGTGGAGGGCTGTCAGGTTTACAGAGCACTATTGGTTTAACCCTTCCAGTCCACAAGGAGGCGAAAAGTCTGCTGATCAATAGATTAATCAATAACTGTAGCTAGTGTTAACAGATTGATATAATATTAATCTAACTGATTAACATTAGGGCTATAAGGCGGTGCACTTGTTGTTTTTCCGCCATTCATCACTTAGCAGTGACATAACGTGATTGATTCTTAGACAGAAAGCAAATTTCTGAGCAATTTCTATTGCTGCTCCTGTGGAACTCTCCATCATGCTGATGTTTGTGCGCTATTGAGCGCTTTAATAGGTTGTTTTAGCAACTGCGTCTGTGATAGGCTCCGTTGGTCTTCATAGAAAAACAATTTCTGTTGTGTTTCCCATGTATCCAGCCTATATAAGTTTAAATCCATACCTATTCTTATAACGTGTTTGGCATATATGGATGTGTATGTGTCTGTGCCCCCCCCCCCATCACCACAGTTTCTGCCCACAGAAACTAAAAAGACTGATTCGACCTTTCTGCTAAAGCTTGGTCAGGCTGGGAAGCTGGGATCCGATAAAAGGCCAGATCTGTGTAGTTTATTGGCATGCAAAATTATTATACTGTGACGTGTCCTTCTCATATACAATTTATTCCACTTAAAGGCCCCATGAAATGACAGAGTCAAGCAAAAATAATACACTCTGGTTACAGTTTTACACCTCGAGCCAAAAACCTGCTTCACATTCTTAAATAGAAATACTACAGGTGATTATGGTGCATTTACAAGTACTAAACAAATAAAGTAAGTAAGTAACATTACATTTCTATAGCATCTTTCAAGATGCATTTAAAAAAAGGATAAAAAATAAGATTAAAACATCCTTAAATATAGAATAACGATGCTCCAATTTTATTACTTTTTATTATTTTCAAATGTTTCAGATGGCTATGCCAAAGTCCAGATAGGCAAATTCAGATTTGACCTTTGGCCTTCAGCTTTTTCATGTGTCTTGAAGTAAAACTCATTTGCCCATACTTCCAGTTTATATTCAAAGCACAACATCATTTGATTCTTCTAATAAAAGAAACTTCCAGAGCCAGAAAACTCATGTGTTTGGTTTGCGTGGATGTCTGGGAGCTACATCCACGTAGATCACATCTTACGGCACCTCTCCTCATCTGTTGATCATTTGGAGTCTGCATCATATTCACACATCTGCAGGTTTCCTTCTTGCAGCACAGTGTTCATTGCATTCGATATTTTCATCCTCTTCAGGGCCACATTCCAAAATTAGATCAAGTGCTTCATTCACAGTTAGTCACTCACGTACTGTGGTGCTACCACAGAATGTCATGTGCGCGGAGAGAAGTATTATTTTTAGACCAAAGATACAGGAGCTGATTAGAGTAGATGTGTTGGATGAATACCATAGAGCAAGAGAGTGAATGTGGGAGTGGAGCTATATCCAAGGACCCTTATTATCTTTTCATCTGTACATTATACATACCTGAACATCAGACTGTGTTGCCAACACTTTGTTCAAACAAAGTTTTTGTTTGTTTGTTTTGCATACTACTTCACAGTGAGTTGTTCCTTCTGATAAATAACCTCGTTGTGATATAACACATTGAGCATAGCATCTCTGACACAAAGGAGATTATTGGGTGATTTCTTTGAGGGGGAGGGGCTTTGCCAAGAGTAACTATAATCCATTTATATCGTTTGTAGCCTAGTGATGCCCCATAAATTGGATAATACAGAAAACAAAACATTTTATGCCTCTTGTGGAAATAAAAACAAAAAAGAAGAGTAAAATGATTTCATTACAAAAATAAAAGTGAAAACGTAGTGTCACCATCACTAATGTTCAGACATTGTGTCCTGTGATGAATTACCTCTATGGCTGCAATATTACAGTTTAGTACAGTTTTATTTGTTTCCTTTTCCATTTGGCAATGTCATTCTTTCGTTCAATGTCTGATGTGTAATATGTTAGAAAGTTAGAAAAAAATCAAGCTGTCTGTGCATGACACAAGCACAAATCATGTTAAAGAATAGGCCATCCATCCATGTAATTAGTCGCCTATCCAGTTCAGGGTCGGTGGAGATATGGAGCCTATCCCAGCTCTCATAGGGTGAGAGGTGAGGTACACCTCGGACAGATTTCCAGTCCATCACAGGGCTAAAGCAGAGACACAGACATAGAATTGCCGGTTAACCTTAGAAACATATCTTTGGACTGTAGAAGGAAGGCACTATGCAGGCACAGGGAGAACAATCTCCACGCAGAAAGGCCCTGCCAGGATTGACCCCTTGGACCTGTGAGGCAACTGCAGATGAATGTCAGTTTTAAAACATCACATTTGACATTTTAACCAAAGTCTAGATGTGACAAGGTTTATTTATTCATTGTGCTGTTATCATGAATACAGTTTTTTACATTTTGGTTTGATGGTGTCAGAGTAAATGATATAATCTCACCAGAACTGGAGGGGTTCATCAAAGAGAGATTGCAACTGCTATCACTTTCATGTCACTATAACCGGTGTATTTCCAGAGCTTAAAGTCTGACACACTGACATGGCCACGCTTAAAAAGATATTCTATAACAATGATAATAATAATAATAATATTCCAGCTAGACGGGAACATTCCCAGATGTTACTTTTTCAAAAAACAAATATTGTAATTAGATTTTCAAAGAACTTTACCCAGATGTTTAATAATGTTCCTGTAAGGTCAAAAGTTTAACTAAGCTATAGCATTGCTACGAGGCAGCAGTGGCAATAACCGCACCACCCTGCCACCACCAGAAGAAATCACAAATGTGTTAATATTTTAGGTTGTTTTGGGTTACACTGTCAGACCTCTGGTGCAGCTAAAGATGTTGTTTGTGTATGTGTGAGTTTCCCTTTCACTTTGGCTGTAGTAAAGAGATTTTGTTCTCTGTCTAAGGGGACAATTTACTCTTTCAGCTTATCGGGCTCCAGCTAAAAAGTGTCTGCCAAGCTGAAGTAACACTCAACTAATTTTGAAATGGATCATTCAAAAAAACTAAAAATCTGTTGTTTTGCATTTCCAAGTAGTAGCGCTGGGTGATGTGTTAACCCAGCACAGCACTGTGTTGCTGTTGATCCAACCAGCACACTCACTCTGGGAGGTAAATGGGCTGTAGTGGGGGGTAACAGACAAAAACAAAAGCAGCCTATCATTTGGTTACATTAGCAGCTCTTGTTTGTTTTCGTGATACTCGTTTTTTTTTGTTTTGTTTTTTTTCAACCTGCATTATGCCCCCCCACCCCCACCCCCACACACACCCCCAAACTGAAGTTAACCAAATATCAACAATGACTGAATTTAAAGTGGCTGCCATCAAATGACTCCAGAGAGGGACGCTGGCATGTGAGAGTGAAACAAAATGTTACTGATGTAGTCTCACAGCAGTATATTTTATTCAAAGTCAAATTAAATTGCAAAAAAAGGTCACATTTCTTTTAAACACACTCAACAGCACTCTGGCACATTATATTGATTATCACATTCTCCTTTGATTACTGTAGCGGTGTTTAGAAAGAACCTTTTTGCCATGATTTTGCAAAAACTGGACCCAAGGAGCAGATTCAGACTACTGACAAAAGGTCTAAAAGATTTATTTACAGAATGAAGTGAACTGGAAACTGGCAGGAGGTCAACAGGGCAGGAACTAATTACAACTGGTGGGCTGATGGTGATCGACAACTGGTAGTAGAAGTTTGCAAAACAGATGCTGTATTCAACTTTAAGATCTTATTTGTTAAGTTTAGGGTTTGAGGCGTTGGAGGGGTAGCAGGTGGGCAGGCTGGAATCCAAGGGAGGCGGAGGAGGTTTGATGGATTGTGGGCAGGCAGGTGAGCGACAAAAGAGCCCATGTTTCTGCAGTGATCGACTAGCTTCCATGTGCATAAGCTTCCATGTGATCTTCAGACTCCTTGATGGAAAACAGGTAAGTACTGTGGAAACAAATCACGAACTCAAGGAAGGGAAGCAGGAAAGGCTACTGAAATACACTAGGACAAGCACTAACCAGGAAGAGCAAAGTTACCACTGTTGTGGAAACAACAATTTGGTCTTTAAATAGCATATGCTGTTAAGACACTGCACTGCAGGTGCATGTGTGCAAGCCTAAGACAGGGCAACTCCATTCATAGGTGGAGGCACAGATGATCAACTCACATTCGCCAACTAAAAACAGGGAGAGAGAGAGAGACAGAGAGTGAACAAGAAAGAAAAAAGGAAAAAAACTCCTTTTTTGTCAATGATCTGGGCGGGAGGCAGGCGTCAGCTGGAGGGCACAGGGGATTGGAAGAGACTTGCTTTAGTTGTGAAACACGGAAGGCTGGGTGATTTTTCATGGATGAGAGTAGCAAAGAAAGGCAGCAAAACAATATCTGTGAAGGACAATCAAACATTCTGACTTGGAACATTAAGCAGGGCCCAGGTCCTCTTCCTGTCCAGGGCAGCTGTGGCTACAATGTAGCTTGCCATCCCCAATGACTGAATGTAGTGTAAAGCGCTTTGGGGTCCTTAAGGACTAGAAAAGCGCTATACAAATGCAGGCCATTTACCATTTTACTTCACGGGTGGCTGGAGTCTATGTCAGCTACGTTAAGCGAGAGACAGGGTACACCCTGGACAGGTCAGTAACCTGTCATGGCGCTAACTGGTAGAAGAGGTGAGCATATTCAATCCATCATAATGAGATCTCCACAGGGAAGTGTTGGAGAAAAGCAGAGAGCAGTTTTAGTTCTTGATTTGTCCAATAGAGTCGAGTGACAGCCAGAGGTCAAACAAA